AAGCTACTGTTGAGTGTTTTGCAGAGTAGGGGTGGGCAGTGAGGTGAGAGAAGTTCAGAGGCTGTGCATGGCTTGGCATGGGGGGAGGAGGGGTGACAGCTCAGAATCAGCCCAGCTGGGGTCGCTCATGCCTCACCTCAGCAGTCCTGCTCTCCCATGTGGAAGGCAGTTTCCAAAATACTGAGTGTGTTTCATGCACCTCTGCTGGGGTGTGCCCTCCATAGCAGCCACAGGAACGCGGGAACTGCTGCTCCTTGAGCTGGTCCAGGATCACCAGCCGTCCTGGGCTGGTCTGGTCTCTGCCCGCTGCGGCGGCATCAGGCCTCCACCTGGACTGCAGTGCCAGCCCGAGAGAAGCAGACAGCCCCCCAGGCCTTGTTAACAGTGGACTCACAGGGAATGGTTGACCCATGGACCTGCCCACTGGACCCCAGAGAGACCCATGGGATCATTGCCTCTGCTGAAGATAAATAGTGGGGTGAATTGCGTGAAATTGATAGGGGGATTTATAGGTCAAAAATGGTTGACTACCAAAAAAATGTTGAATATCCGTTTCATGCAGTTCAGCCTAATACTTTGCATCCTGTGCTCTTTATCCTGTTTTCCAAAAGTGCTTTACTAATCAGTGTTTTTTAAGTCAGGGGTAGGAGTGGAGATTGATTGTTGCAACAGGAAAGGAGGCTGATGGCGTGGGCCCCGCTGGCCATGATCTGCGGGGAGAGGCAGGGGCAGCTGGGGCTGTGGGTCTCACTGGCGCTTGAGGAGAAACTGGGAGCATAGGGCCGCCTTGTGCTGTGGAGTTCACAGCCGGGGAGGTTCACAAGAGCTTGCTGTGCACCGGCAAGCCGGGCTAGGCCCTTCCTCTTTGTCCTTCTTTCAATCTGAAACAGTAAACCTGTTAGATTAATTACAAGAACTTGGGTGTAACCCTCAGGCCACTTCCCCAGGAAGTCGACAGAACGTGTTGGGACACGTTCCAGCAAACTGCCCAGGGCTGCCAATTCAGCCGTTCAGCAGTGTTTATTGAGCACCTACTGTGTCAAGCGTGGGCTGGGAGTTTGAAGACGCAGTGGTGAGTGGAAGTGCCCTGTCCCTCCCCCCGGACGGTAGAGCCTAGTGGGAGAGACAGATAAAAATAGGAGGACCAGCCGAAAGGTGGAAGCAACCCGAGTGTCCATCGACGGATGAATGGATAAACAAAATGTGGTGTATACCTACGATGGAATGTTATTCAGCCTCAAAAAGGAAGGAAATTCTGACACATGTTGCAACATGGGTGAACCTTGAGGATGTGATGCTCAGTGAAAGAAGCCAGTCACAAAAAGACAAGTACGGCACGATTCCACTCATGTGAGGTACCTAGAGTAGTCAAATTCTTTGAGTCAGATTCTCAGAAAGTAGAATGGTGGTTGTCTGCGGCTGGTGGGGAGAGGGGAATGGGGAGCTGTTGTTTAATGAGTGCAGAGTTTTCATTTTACAAGATAAAAAATGTTTTGGAGATTGGCTGCACAACAATGTGAATGTACTTAACACTGCTGAACTGTACACTTGGAAATGGTTAAGATGGTAAATTTTATGTTATGTGTATTTTAACCACAAGTTAATTTTTTTTTCTTTGGTGAGGAAGATTGGCCTGAGCTAACATCTGTTGCCAATCTTCCTCTTTTTGCTTGAGGAAGATTGTCCCTGAGCTAACATCTGTGCCAGTCTTCCTCTATTTTGTATGCAGGACACCACCACAGCATGTCGTGCCTGGGATCCAAACCTGCGAACCCCGGGCTGCCAAAGCAGAGCATGCAGACCTAACCACTATGCTACTGGGCCGGTCCCCAAAATTTTTTTAATTAAAAGAAAAAAAAGAAGCATGCGCACTCGTGGGCAGGGACTGTGGTCCCAGCTCTGAAGGAAAAGCTCAGGGGGGTGAGATGAGGACTCGGTGAGGACCAGTGATGTGCCTGGCCCCCTGGAATCCCCAGACGCAGCTCTGTAGTGTTTCTTGGTCTCTCCCATGGAAAGCCGCATGACAGTGAAGCATGGGCCACGTCACCGAGTCACCCTCAGGGTAGTCCCATCCACATCTCTTCAGACACTGGCCGTGTGTGCGGGGGGTGTGCTCTCCACCCAGACGGCATCTCCCTGGGGCGGTGGAGTCCCCATCCTCCCTCCTGCAGCACCTAACCCTGGTGACCTCAGGACCTGACGAGCGCCTCCCCAAGCCCACCACCCCATGGGAACTGCTCCTGAGTGTGGTCCCCAGACCAGACCCCGGCTCCCACCAGGAAATATAGTTCGGGGTCCACACCCTGAAGATGCTTAGTGCCCCACTGGGGATTTGACTTGTCTTCCTGGAGGGTGGTCTGACGATATGCATCATCATCTAAATGGACACAATCTCTCAATCCGGCAGTTCCCCTGGGAATATTTCCTAAGGTGATACCGACACCTGCCTGATGACGTGTGTGCACTGACGATGGTTGTGGCACTGCTCACAAGAGTGAAAAATTGGAAATAACTTCATGTCTGTCAGTGGGGGGCTGGTTTAATTAAGTTTAATAAATCTAAACTATGGAGCCCTTAAAAAGTGATGGTAGAGACCATTACTTATTAACACGAACAGTTGCCATGATATGTAGTTAAGCGGTGGCGGGGAACAGGTTGCATCTACATGATCCTATTCTTCTAAAAAACAAAAACAAAATTGTGTATATGCCCAGGAAAAGGTGTGATAAAATTCACACCACGGTGTTAAGCAGGCCTCTGTGGTAATGTTAGGAGTTGACCTATAGTTTGCTCATTTTACTTTTTTCATATTGTCCTAATATTGTGTGCTACTTATGTATTTCTCTTCTTAGGAAAAAGAAAAGACCAAGCAGTTTCCATGGCGGAGGTGGGGGAGGCAGTGTGGTGGGTCCTAAGCCCACCGGGCCCCACTGTTCATGGACGTCTCTCGAGGGCTTGCTTCATTTGGTCCCCCCAAGGCCCAGCCCATGTTGGGGGCAGGAGGCCAGCCTGCTCAGGGGAGGGCAGCAGAGCCTGCACTGACGGATGCTCAGGACTTCGCTTAGCAGAGGGAGGCCGAGTGAGCCCCTCACCGGTCCCCCATGGCCTGTTGGGCTTGGGCACAGCCACACAGCAGCTCTGCAGGGACAGGTGGCCTTGGCGGCTGCTGCCTATATTATTTCCTCTGCCTGTATGGCACTTCCCTGCCCTTTAGGCATCCAGTGTGCAGGACGCGTAGAGCCCATGATAATGTGTGACCCTCCAAGGATTTATTCACCACTCAAGCACACTTTAGTGAGCATCTACTTTGTATCTGTAAACTGTTGGGATGAGACTCTGCGGCCTCCATTGTGGAGTAGAGGCCACTAGAATAGTGGCCTGGCCTTGGGCAAATTGCTTAACTTGGAGCCTCAGTTTTCCCATCTGGAAAGTGGAGATAATAACAGAGCTTCCTCAAAGAACTGTTGTTGCCGGATGCCTCTGGGAATAGGGGAGGCACCTAGTGAATTTCAGACCATGTGCATGCATTACCAATTCAGGTAAATAAATATATATTGTAGGAGGGCTGTGAGAGGATCAGAAAGGGTTTTCCAAAAGGGGATCCAAGAAGCCTTTATCCCACCAGACAGGTTCTGTGTTATTCAAGAGCCACACAAAAGCAGGCTCTTCCGCACAAGGTAGCTGAGAGGGAGCGGGGAGTGATTCGTGCCAGGGCCGTGGTCCAGACTCAGTGGTCCCGTGCCTGGCACTCTGGAGCATAGAGAGGTGACTACTGTCTCCTTGGAGACTTAGATGCACATCACTCAGCGAATGAACAGTCAGTGCTGTACAGTTAGGTGCTGAGTTTATGCAGATGCAGTAGTGGGGTTAAGTTTCTCTAGGAAAACCCGCCAAATGGATTTCAGGTGGGATCCACTGTGTGTTCTTTTGCCCTGTTGGAGAACCCTGTGCACATTGGCATATTAAAGGCTCTGAGAAGTCCTGCGGTAACAGAGCTTGGTTTAACCTAGTGCTTCCCAGTGTACTTGATCAGGAACCTTTTTTTTTTATTTGCCCAGCCCCTGTTAACATCCCGCAGAACTAATGTGGTGCAGAGGAAGTTTTGGGAGTGAGAAACACTCCCAAAGAAACACTGTCCCAGAGAGAATCAGGGAAAACTCAGGCCTTCTGATTTTAAATCCTCCCTTTTGAGTAGGGGACTTGGTCCATTGGTTATAAAGCTGTCCACACATGTCAGACAAGCAGAGGAGGGTGACACTGAAGGTCACGGCACCGTGTCTGTCAAGTGGCTGCTCCATGCCCAGCCTTGGGCCATGGGGCTTGACGTTCATTTGAGTCTGATCCTCATGGCCGCCCTTGGAGACGGGTGCTGTTCCTACATTCCACCTACTGATGATGGAACTGAGGGTCAGGGAGGTTCATGTGTCCAGATCTCACAGCTGCTGGGTGGCAGGCCCCAGGGTTTACGCCCAGGACGTCTGCTCTGACTGCCAAGGCTTCCTCTTCTGCGAAAAGGTCCCATTGTTCCTTCACTCACTCCCACTCCTTTACTAAATACTTTGAACGTATTTCCCTCATCAGAAAAGAGATTACAGAGCACATGGCATTTTTTGAAGTAGGCATTAAGAGTTCAGGGACCTTATCTCAGCTGCTTCTCTGAATTCTAATCCGTGGCTCTCCCTGAGATTGCGTCCTCTCTGTGCCAGCTGCAGAGATGTCTCATCCCGAGAAGCTCTCCAAAATAGCTTCCAAGGCCATGCCGTGGCCCAGCCCGGCTCTTCCTCCAGCCTCTTGTCACTCTGCCCCAGAGGCTCGAGGGGAAGGGGCGGGCAGGAGGAACTCAGGTGGCATCTCTTGAGTACCTTCTGGGTGTCGTGCATGGTGCTGAGTACTCTCCAACTTTCCAGAAGGAGGGGAGTGGATGGTGGGCCTGCATGGAGCACAGTACAGGAAGGGCTGCCCTGCATCCTGTGCGCTAAGCCAATGTCTCCCCCGCCCAGGTCTGGAAGAGGTCGGGGGCCTGGTTCTACAAAGGGCTCCCCAAGTACATCCTGCCCCTGAAGACCTCCGGCCGGGCTGATGACCTCCACTTCCAAGCTGTGCCCATGGAACCGGCCGAGCAGGGGCCCAGGAGCACTGAGACCAGTCATGTCTACACATGGGCCCGAGGGAGAGGTAAGTCCCTCTGCCCCCTCTCCTGGGGTAACAACTAACGTTCAGGCTGTCAGCCAGCCGGGCACTGCCACGAGCACAAGCCAGTGCCCGCCACACCCTCCTCGTGGCTCATACTGGTGTTTCGTCCCTCCCTGTGCCCTCGGCTCCCTCCCCACACCCACGCCTAGACCTCAGCGTGGTGATTGCTCTGTGCAAAGACTCGGGTGGAGGGTCCACTGGTGGCCATTTCAGAAACAAGGACTAGTTTGGGGACAGGGATGCTGTGAACAGCACTGTGGATCTTTGCAGAAATGTGATGTCAATTGAGGTGTTTTGCAAAGAGTGAAAATGCATCTTTCCAAGGCAGGCCTGTACCATCTCTTCTTGGCGCTTGTCTTGTGTCTCACTAAGAGAGGACTCCTGGCTTCCTCGGTTCTAATGAGCACGGTGACTTTGTGCCCAGTACCCTGGGTATTTGTGGTGGCTGCACTGATATTGGGGTGTCCCAGGTGGCCACGCTCAGAAGGGGAGCTCTCCCCACTGGTGAGGATACAGTGCCAGGGTTGGTGGATGGCTCTCCACAGCTTGCATGACGCTTGAATGCTCGTGACTTTATTTTCCAAGTTCCAGGTCTCACAACATGTTCCAGAGGCAGACAGGGCGGTGTTAGTAGCCCATTTTCTAGATGAGTAGCCTGAGGCCCAGAGAAAGGAGGGACTTACTCAGCTGGGGTGTGGCAGAGCTGGGACCAAAAGGCAGAGTCTTGCCCTCTGGGCTCTGGTTCCTTCTGTTGCTTCTGGGAGGCTCTCGAACATCTCTGTCTTTGGACCATGACCAGCATCTGACTGTCTTTATATCATTTGGGCTTTTTCTTTTCTTGTTACAAAAGTAAGGCATGTTTATTATGAAATTTTGAAGGTTGTCGAATAATATGATTTAGAAGGGAAAAATCTCCTGTCAGTCGACCCTTCCACACAATAACCAGCGTTAACAGGCAGGCGCCTATTCTCCAGAGGGCTTTTCGGCTCTTTTTGCAGCCAGCCTTCCTTACTAATCCCGCTGGCCTCCGTCTGCACTTCTGAGTCCCGTGAGTTTGCCTTCCCAGCGATCACTGCCACAGACAGCCTTTGTAGGGACCACGAGTGAGTGCAGCAGAGACTGGGCGCGCAGGGGAGGGGAGCAGGCCCGCTCGGCCCGGCCTAAGGGGGGCACTGTGGCCAGCCAGCCCTCGAGGGGGCTGGCAGGGGATTTGCTGGGGAGGTGGCCCCCTCTTCCATTGTGTCCCTTTTCCACCCTCAGAGCCGGCCTTCCCCTGCCCCAGCCCTATCAGGGGGCATCGGTGTCCCGCACGAGGGAAGGATGCGGCCATGGAGTCAGATGCTGGTGGACACTGGCGGGTTTAGAATGTTGCTTGGAGGGGGTTGAGGAGGGAGGCTCTGAGGCCCCCACCCCCAGGGGCCCTCACTGCCCTGTCTGCTCCAGCACCAGCACGGCACACACGTGCATGCACACACACACACACACACACGCACACACTGCCCCCCTGAGGAGGAGCAGAGCCTCGTCTCCTCCGAGGCCACACAGACACAGGTGGCCTTTTACTTATGCGGGCAACAAGGCCAGCGGCCCACACAATTGGGGTCGGCACCGTCTGTGAACCGAGTTTACACTGAGGCTGTGCCAGGCAACGTGGAGGCCCCCTCGTGAGCACTGAGTCTCCCTCTGCAGACCAGGTCAGAAGGCCCCCAGGCTCCCAGAGCACGAGGCAGCGCCTCCTCGGGGCCAGGCCCCCGCCAGGCGCATCCCAGCCCTGTGATTAGCCGAGTGTTAGTGCCGAGCAGGAGGAGCAGGCCCAGACAGGTGACGTGCGTGTATCACCCACGGGCGGCAGGGGAGGACTGATGGCCAGGGCTGGTTGTGGAGGCCCAGGGGGTGTCTGAACCCACCCAGAGAGGGGGTGCACCAGGAGTGCGCGGGGTGCATGTGGTGTGCAGGACTGAACTTGGGGAAACCCGCAGTCGTGGGGGAGGGAGGAAAAGGAGCTGGTGGAGGAGGCAGAGGAGGCGTTGCTGGGGGAGGCCGGAGGAGAGCAGGGCGGTTACAGGCCGCAGAAGCCAACGTGCCAGGGGTTTGCAAGGAGGGGCTCAGGAGAGCCGCAAACAGCCCGACTGTCCCTGAGCTGCTTCCAAGCCCGATCCTGGGAGGCTGTGGTTGTCCTCTCTGATGAGCCTGTGCAGAAGCCAGGATCTGTGCTTTCTGATAGAGTTCGGATCCCCTGGCCTCCCCAGACCCGACCGTGTACTAACAGAGGCACTCGGGTGACTACGGATGCTTGTGGGAGACCAGAGGCTGGGGCCAGCTGGAACCATCCTTACAGCTGGTCCTGAGGCTGGGGCCCAGCAGGGAGCCCTCCAGGAGGTCAGCTCGATGCTGGCATGTGGCTTCCTGGTGGTCCATATGGCCTCGTGGCAAATCTGTGGTATCCTCTGGGGAGGGCTTGGGCATGCCTGCCTCTGGGAATACTCCCAAGCTGCCAGGGGATGCTGCATCCGTCCCGATTCCTTCTCAGGCTGGTCTCCTTGAGGTAGTCAGGCTCCTGGCAGCAGACAGAGGGGGCAGCCTTGGGAGTCTGGCGCAGGGATGTCACTGGGCCTTTCCAGACCACTGCCCACTGAGGAACCAGTTGGTGTTTTTCCAGCTCCAAGAGTGGCTTCCACTCTCCACCTCCAGCCCCATCATCAGTGGTGCCCAGGCGCCAGGCAGCTGGCTGGGGTCGGAGCTGCTGTTTGTGGTCCAGGTCAGAGCCTGTCTGGTAAGCCCGGCCCTCATAGCACCCCATTCAGCCAAAACCGTGCTTGGGGCCAGGTGGAAACAGAATGACTAGCGCTGGGGTGTGGGCTCTCCTACCACACTGAAAGCTACACGCGGGCAGGGCTGTGTCAGTCCTGAACAGGCCGATTCCTCAGCACGTAGCATGGGAGAGGCACGGGACAGATGCTTATTAGATGAATGAGTGAACCACTCACCTGCTCCAGCATATTTGAAAGGCCTGTGGAGGGATTTTCAGTAGGGCCTGCAGGCTCCCCTGGGTCAGGGGTCTGTTGGACAGCCCCAGGAGATACCTGGAGGCTGTTAAAACCACCCCCCTGTCAGGAGGTGGCTCTCCTCCTGGGCCCCTGCCTCCGGGGACGCCAGGGCCAGTATCCCCCTCCTGCCCTGCAGCCCCTGCTCCCTGGATGGAAACTGACCCTGGCACCAGTGTGCTCTCTCTGACCCTCTTCCCTGCCCCCAGTCCTCCGTCTCTCTGCCTCTCTCTCTCTCAGTCATGGGGCTGGTACACCTGTGGCCCCCAGCTCCACCCCCTAGCCCAGCTCAGCCCACTGTCTTTCTCCTGCCCTGTTGGAAGAGGAAGGGTGATCCATAGATGCAAGCCATGGACTTTTCAGTCCACACAGCAATCAGGTGAAAGGTATTGACATTTCTGAGGCAGGTTCCTTTTCTTCCTCCTTTCAGTTTTCTTTGTTAATTTTTAATTACATAAGAATACTTGATATATTTTAACAAGTTAAACGATTTGAAAGTGTATGAAAAATTAAAATCTCTTCTGCTTGCCATCGTCTCCAAATCCCTTTCTCCCTGTTCCAACTAATGTATACTTGATATAGGTTATTTTTTTTTGTTTGCTTTTGTTTTTGCAACAAAGATAGGTTCTTACCCATAACTCTCCATGTTGTGTTTTTCACTTAAAGGATTATCATGGGCCTGACCTCCAGGTCAATAGATATGGATTTTACTTTATTCTTTTTAATGGCTGAATAAAATCCCATCATAGTGTGCTTTGTGATTTAATCATTCACCTATTGATGGACATTCAAATTGTTTCTGGCTTTTTGCCATTGGAAGCGATGCTGAAACATCCTTATGTCTATATGATGCTTTTATTTCCACGGGGTAGGTTTTCAAAAATGAGGTTGTCTGTTTTACATTTCAATAGACATTGCCAAACTATATTCCAAAAATGTTACAGTATTTTATAGTCGTTTATACCTGCATTCTTGTCTGCCATGAATATTATTGGTGTTTATCCTTTTGGCCAGTATACTAGATGGCACATGATATTTCATTATTTTAATTTGCACATTTGGGTATCTCTTCATATCTTTATTACTTATTGATTATTTAGGTTTCCTCTGTTAAAAATTGCCTGTTCAATTCCATTGCTCATTTTTTATTAAGTTGTTTACTTTCTCTTATTGATTTATAGGTGCTTCTTATATATTAAGGATATTAAATGGGTTGCAAATATTTTTCTCCTTGTTTGAATTTACACTTTGTTTGACCTTATCCTTGCTTATAGTATTTTGCCATTCAAAAACAATTTCTTTTAATTTTTGTGGAGTCAAGTATGTTTTTCTTCTGCTTTGTGGTTTCTGGATTTCCTGTCTTGCTTTGAAATGTCTTCCTCCCCCCAAAGTTAAAAAAAAAAAATCTGCTAAATAAAAATTTTAAGTAATATGAGAATAAAAGGAAATTACTTAAATATGATAAAATTACCAAAAAAGAAAAAAATCTAATACCAAATATCATATTAACTGATAAAGCACTAGAGCCTTGTTCTCTCAAAATGCAAGTCAAGAATACCTCCATCATCACCATCATTCAACAGTATTTTGTAGTATTTAACTAATGTAATAAGGCAAGAAAATCAAATAATCTGTTACTGTTGAAAAAGAGAAGAAATTCTCTTATTTGCAGATGATTTGATTGTATACCAAGAAAACCCCAAAAGAGTGTCCTAAAACAGCCCTCTAGGGTCAATAGGATAATTTGGGAAGTGACCGGACAGAAAGTAAATCAATAGTTTACACAAAACAATCAATCATCTTACTGACTAATTAGAAGTAGAAATGGGGAAATGCATTCATAATTGCAACAAAAATTATAAAATGCCTAGAAACTAATTTTAAAGATTTTATTTATTTACTTTTCCCCCCAAAGCCCCAGTAGATAGTTGTGTGTCA